TCAGTGAAGATGAAAGGGAGGGTATATAAAGCATGTGTGAGAGCAGCGATGATATATGGTGGTGAAACTTGGGTGTTGAGGAGAGAGGAGGAAAGTGTACTGCAGAGGGCTGAAAGAGCTATGGTGAGGATGATGTGTGGGGTTAAAGTGAAGGATAGGAGGAGTAGTACAGAGCTGATGTCAATGATGGGACTGAATGAGGACATTGTGACATTGATAAGGAGATCGAGATTGCGGTGGTATGGACATGTGTTGAGAAGGGATGAAAGGGTCGGGATTAGGCGAGCGTTGGAGTTCGAGGTTGAAGGAGTGGTAGGAAGGGGTCGTCCGCGATTGGGATGGAGAGAGCAGGTGGAGAAGGACAGGGTGAAAGCGGGGTTGCGTGATACTGAGGCGAGTGACAGATGTGGATGGAGTCGAGGGGTATTTCGGTTTCATCATAGGTAGCCAAACGGCAACCCCCGATCTCGGGGAAAATGCCGTCTAAACGTGTGTTGTTGTTGTTGTTGTTATTTTTATTATAATTAAAAAAGTGTTTGAATATAATTAAGATTTAATGGATATTATTGAGGAAGTTGATATGATTATGTGCTGTTACAAATAATTATGTGTACATAATAAATTATGATAATGATGACGGTGATGAAGATGATGATGAGGATGATGAAAATGATGATGATGATTAGATGCTTTATGAGGAACGCGAGAAGAACAAGAGGTTGCAGCTGTTGTTGGTGGAAAAAGATCAGCTGATCAGTCAGTTGGAGGAAAAGATTGTCACTCTTAGCAAGGCAATTTTATTATTTTTTTACACGTTTTTTAAACTTTCCGTGGGAAATCATTTAATTTTTGCTCGAGGGGAAAGTATAGATTAGGAATTTGAAGTTTTTTAAACAAATAATTCTGTGTAAATTGAATTATTTTAAGTTGAAATGAAACATTTTCAATACAATAGCATTGCAATCTTACTGGCTGTTGCAACAAATTAACTCACATGTTCAGCTTGATAATTACTTTGTATTTCCTGTTATTGTAGCTTATTATCTTCTCTACATACTACCATATTTAATTTTTTTATAAAATAAAATCATATTAAATATATGTTAAACTACATTTAAAGGAAGCTTAAAAATGAACATGGGAAGTATCTACAGCATCTGGTAGGAACAACAAGTGGGATTGTTCTGTGGCTATCTACCAAAAATATTTTAACTTTAATTTATTGCAAACTAGTTTTGTTATACTGTTTTCATCAAGTAATTTATTTTAATTTCAAGTCATTTATATTCATATCCATTTATATTATCTGTACCATTTGAAACTCTAATAACTATTGTTGGTGTTGTCTATATTTAATATGAAAACATTATGTTATAAATATAATGGTTCTCATTTTGCGGTATGGTATAAATTTTTTGTTGTTGTCGAAAAGTTATGTCTGATTGAGAAGTACCGTGTCTTGTGCGGTTGTTTAAAAAAATTGTGTGCTCAGGTTTGAATGCAAAGTGAAACCTGATTTATTAATGTTGCTAAAAATTTGGATTGTTTAATGCAGTTGTTAATGTTAAAACATTTGAGCGCAATTAAGCACTATAAATAAATCGTCAATTCATTTGTTATGCAATTATTTTTCAATATTTGAATATGAAGTACTTCATACAAGTTAAATACATTTAATTGTAGTTTTTAATTTATTTGAATAGTTTTTTTTATTGATTGAATTGGCATTATTCATATTTATTGAATACACTGCTCAATATATTTTAAACATCATATCCCATTTATATATATTCAAATCTCTAATAGTTTCATCTATTAACATTAATTCCAATCTATCTGTTAACTATTTATTTTGATCATGTTCTGTCTCTTCTAGTCTCTTATGAGCATTGGTTGGTTTTTCTTGTAGTAGCATTGTTGTTTGAGTCAAGTTTTTAGAAATATTTTTATTGTAGTTTGTTCTGTTTTATAATTAATCTATTTTTTTGACTACAACATTCAATCTTTATTTATTTACAATTGTATTCAACTTTACACATAATGTTATAAATATAATCGATTGTAAACATAATTTTTATTATTTTTATTATTTATGGAGAGTTGATTGTCTTTTGAAAAGGTCGTTTCATAATTCAGAACTATTCATACAGGTATTTTTTAAAATGTTACCTAAAAATGTAACAAAACGTTTCTAAAAGCTGATAAATCTCAGATCTGATCGTGCTACAAATTATCAGTCATAGGCTTTTTAAAATAATGTTTGCATATACATTTGAAACAATGTCTCATTTTTACAATCTAGAGTTTTGAACAAAAAGTTGATGGAATGAATTATGCTCATTAATCTTTCAGCTTATATTGTATATTCCGTCTGTGCACGTGTGTGCTGTGTGTGCTACTTTTTGTGATGTTAAACATATATATACAAACAGTATTGTATGAATTCTACCGAATTGTTGGCATAAATCAATTTAAAGTTTGTCTTTCAATTTTCCTTACTAGAATTTTCTGGAAATTGTCCAATTTATTGAAAATAAAATGATTATCCAAGTTCATCATGAAAATATAATATTGCTATTGTTATCCAAATTCATCATATATCGATTTTTCACAAATCGTCTTCAGTGCAGCTCTGTCAGTGCAAACAACAATGACAACGACAAAATCCTTTATTACAGAAATCATATTTCAACGGCACATAAAATAGACGAAGTCGTCCTTATGCAAATCATTGAAAGAAACGTTTCGCCAATCAATGATACTAATAAAATAACGCTCAGGATATACTAGAACAATTGTAAGACATCACAATTGGTCCTGAAGAATACCTGCACTCCTAAAGACGATTCTACTTTGAAGCCTATTGACGACTGTGCTCGCCAACAACATTCGTTTATTGGTGTTACGACCACTTCATTATCAAGACGTCTCACAGTGCATACACAGAAAGGAGCCGTCGAATCTCACTTACAATCAACAATGCAGCTACAATAATCCGCCAAATTCTTGACAACAACACAAAAATAATTTATAGAAACATCAACACATCTAAAAATGCAGAA